AAGGATGATGATGATGATGATGTGAGGGCACATACCTTGTATTGGCGATGGTCTGCATTTGGGCGACATCTTCAAGTACTTCGGGTTGGCGCTGATGTCAACAGTTGCATTGTCTATTAGTAGGCTGACCGTAGCTGTGTAGGAGTAGGCTGGGCGCTGAGCGCCAAGTAGGAGTGTGAAGGGACTGGACTCTTGTGTTGTGGCGGAGAGAGAAAACTCTCCTTGACATTGGTTTTCAGTACTACGAACCTCCATTGGTGTATTACTTGTGCAATGCTGCTCTCTGGACACAGTGTGACTAATCTCGCTTTCAATGTGATGATGTAATCTGGAATTTGTCATTTTTGCTCTTGCTTATTTTCCTTGCATATATATATATACATATACATCCTACCCCTTAAGCAGCATTGGCCGCGGGGAAGATCGATGGTCCGCTGCACGCCGGATTTGGGGTCGAAGTTTTGAGGATGGCCAGCGGATAAAGGCGATCGAAGGCGGGGGAGTGTGCAGAGGGGCGCGCGTACCGAAATGTTCACAGCGCGCCATTAAACGAGTGAGCGTGCCCACGGGGCCGGGCAGCGGCGGACGTAGATGTGAGGGAATATCTTGAAGCCGCTGCCGTCGATAAGCGGCCGTTTTTTTTTTTTATAGCATTTTCATTTTCAGCCTGCCATTTCCTTTTTTTTTTTTTTTTTCTTTTTTTTTTGCTTCATGGTCGGCGTCCTTTTTTTTTTTTCCTGCTTTTTTTTTTTTTTTTCTTTTTGTTTCCCGTGGGCGTGAAAATGGAAAAAAGAAAAGTTCGAGGGCCCCCCCGCCTGCACTCACTCACTCACGCACACACACGCCCGCCCACACACACTCACTTACCCACCCACACACACACACACATATATTTGAAGTTCGTTCATAGTGGTTGCGTTGGGGTTTGAACCCACGCACAAATTTTGAAATACCCAATTGCCACCTGCGCTAACCGCTCAGGTGGACTGGGTCCCTGTCTGTTTTTGGGGACTGTTGTCTTTTGAAGTGTATCCGACATCAAGCTGCTGGCACGTCAGGATGTGCTTGTGTCTGAACCCTAACGTTGCACAGTGTGACCCCCGCCGGCCTGAAATGGACTTTCCTGGCGTTACTGACCGGGTTCTTAGGGGGGGCGGCGACCAGGCAGGCACAGGCAGGTCCGGGCCAAACATTTTCAAGCGCGAACTTTGACGATTTTTCGTGCTCAGAAAAATTGGCAAAAAAATCTGAAAATTTGATATCCTGTAGATTAGGCCGTGATCTTTCCAGGAAAACTATCAGAAAAATGAAGTAAATGCCGCACTGTTTCGTCACATTTTCCATTTTTACTACTCTACCACGTTTGGGCCAACGGGAAAAGAAACCAAACTTTCGCCATTTTTTGCAATTTGAAGGATGCCCCAACAACTCTGAAAATTTGAGGGTCTATAGATTTGGTCGTGATCTTTACAGGAAAAATATTTATAAAAAACAAAAAAATCATTTCAACCACGAAATAAATCGCGGGGATAATTCAATGCATTTTCAAATCTTGCCACTCTACCAGTTCCCCCCACTGTACTACCGGTAGCCCTCATGGACCTGTGGTCGCAGCTGGGGTCCAGGTACATGTATAGATCAAGTTGTCGTTCGGGGTCCATGTACATGTACAGGTGCATGTACAGATCAAGTTGTCGTGCGGGGTCGCTCTCTCTCTCTCACTGTTACATGCTGCGCGTGCATACGCGGGCCATTTTTCAGGCCCTGCGTCCTTCAGGCCAAAAGCCTGAATTTCAGGCCGAAAGCCTGAAATCCAGGGCTTACAAGCCCCATGTCAGATCAGGCCGAAAGCCTCAATTCCAGGGCCACAGCCCCTATGTCGTTTTAGACTAAAAATGGCAACAACCTTTTTAGCCTGAAACAAAGGGCCATTTCCGGTCGTTCATTAGAACGACCGGCCCTGAAACTCAGGCACCGAACCAGGGTTTCGGAACAGGCTATTCTTAGCCTGTTCCCCACGCCAGCCTCAGCAGGCTGCTGCACGCCAGCCCCTGGCACACTTCGGCATTGGCAAGAGTTGCCTCCTCGGCCTGGCTCGCCCTTCAGCAATCAGGGGGCAGGCCGAGGTAGTACATAGGGACTTCCCATGCACTTCACGGGAGGCAGAGAGGCAGTTGTAGTCTTCAGGATTCGGGAGCAGCACTTTGGAGGGAGCGCTGCAGAGTAGTAGTAGCGTTAGCACTCTGGAGGGAGCGTTGCAGAGTAGTAGTAGCGTTAGCTTGTAATCTTCAGCACTGGGTGACGTAGGTAGCTGTAGTCTCCTGCGCTGGGCGCCATAGCTAGATAGTACTAGAGAGAGAGAGAGAGATTGTGCCGAGGCCAGAGGCACTTACCTGCAGCGCCGTTGCTCCAGCTTCGTCTTCAAGGTACCTGCAGCACAGCGCCAATACCACAGGTCAGTATCTGGCTCGTAATAGTGAGACAAAGTTCTTCTTCTTCCTCTTCTCAATCCACCATCTCTGTTACGGACTTCGCCAGGGCTCGATCCCTAGTCTATCTTTTTGCTGTTTCAGCTGCATCCTGTTTTCGGCCTGGCGCCCTTTTTCCAAACTCCTCCTTTGGTACCGTAGGATTTCAGACAACTGGCGCCATGCTGCAATTCGGGCGCCACTTTCAAATACTGCATTTTTCAGTGTTGCCCTCGAGGGCCTTTGCAGAAATGCCCCTGGTACCGTACGTGTCACCGGTACTTATACCGGCTCCCCGTACGCTACGGGGGCGGTCTCGTACCAGTTCTCTGCAGCTGTACTCGTACTCAGTGTGACTTGCTGTTTCGGCATTCGGACTCCAAGACTTCGACTTTGTGCCTTGCCACTGTGTCTGCGTCCGACCCTCAGTCTGAGTCCGTCATGTCGAGTGAGTGAGTGTGTGTGTGTGCTCTCACTCTCTCCCTCTCTCTCCTCTCCTTCGGCTCACCCTCAGCCTCACGCTCGTTACACTGGTATCAGAGCGGTTCGAACCCGCCCAACCCACCCTACTTCGACGACGTCACCGGCCATCATCAACATCATCGTCGAGGTCGTCGTT